ACTTTTGGGATGCGAATGGATTGTGGGGGAGCTGTACCGATGAGTGGGTTCATCATGGGGAAGTCACTGTGGAAGTAACCCGGAAGGACATAGCTCCCTCCTGGCTCCTCCCTTCACCCTGCTTCTTGGTCACCAGCAGGCCTTCCCACCATGCCTTCTAAACTTTGAGCCAAAATAAAGTTCTCCTCCTTTAAGATACTGTGTTTCATCTATGAAAAACAGTGACTAAGACTTCAAGATATATTATATCCCACTTTTAAATTTGTACAAGAAAGTTACTAAAATTTTTAGCATTGGACCTTCTGGAACCTACCCTTCCCTCTAGTTTCTGATTGTTTCCAAACCTGTAGACTCGAGTCCAAAAATTCTGTGACAAGTTGTCAGTTGGGCCATATTATAGAGTGGGTCTTCTAAAATTCACTAACTCTTACATTTTAAAAATAATTTAATTTATTATGCTTCATTGGCATGGATAGTTACAATCAAGAATTACTTTATTCCACAAAGGATAAGTTTGTTTCTCCTACTCTACATATTTAAAGTCTTTCATTCATAGGCTCTTACAGGAGAAGAGACCTTCAAAAACATCCAGTCCTTTATTTTCATTTTCTAAATGAGGAAAGTAAAGTCCAGAAAGCCTTTCATCGCTCAGTTCACCTTCTTTTCTGTTAACTCTACTGTCAAAAAACAGGACTAGTTAATGCTGGCAACATGGCATAAATTGGTGTATAGTACTTCTGTATTCCATATTACAGATAATTTCCCACCACAATATTGTGAAAAAAAATCATTGAAAGCATCCAAATTCTATAATGAAAAATAAGCCTTTGTTTGCAGACATACTTATGTTCAGAATGATGTTCTTTAATTGTGTGTAAATGGGCAATAGAAATCCATACCATTTTGGGTCTGATTCAACATTTGCTAATTGAATCTCAGTGTATGGATTTGTTAAGCCAATATTCATACTCCTGAGTAAATGTCTCTCTGAGTGTATGCATATGACAAAGCTGATTTTTCTTTTAATTGATAGAATCAATAACTAAATCAGAGTTAGGCCAAATTTGCAAAAGTAGTTTAGGTTATAATGAAAGGCCTTTGTACTCGCTTTAGCAGGAACCTTAGAACTGTTGGAAAGAAAATAGAAACAGAATCCTAAAGGTCTCCCAAGAGCAGAAATAATAATAATAATTATTATAATATAATAATAATAAGAAATATTATTATTATTAGTACCAGTAGTCAAACTCATGACCTGATGCTTGCAAGACAGGCACTTATGCTGCTGAGCTAAACCACAGCCTTTGTTTTTTTTGGTTTTTTTGTTTTTTTTTTTTTTCTGAAAGGAAAAATTTTTTTTCTGACAGGATTATTTGCAACCGTTCTGTTTTACATCTAATTCCTAGCTGACAAGTGTCCGTTTTTCATGCTTATTCATTCATCACCCTTGTGTTCCCTCTGCCTGCGAGGCATCTGGCCTGGTCTGCATCACTTCTCGCCAAATGATAAAGGATGTGCTCAGCTGTAGCCCAGCCTTCCCATGCAGGATAACAGGACCGAGACGCACATGGACAGGAGCAGCTGCTGTGCATATAACCACAGCATCCTCTGCCCATTACATACGCAAGGGCTAGGAGGGAGGTTTTATGGCAGAATTTAAAAGTTCTTTCAAGAATAAATATTGCCTTATCAGGGGTAAAATGCAAGATCACTTTAGATATTAGATATATATATATATTATAATATATCATATATATAGTATAATATATATGTATTATGTATAGATATAGATATATAGACATTATATATATAAAATTTATAACTAAGCAATTAAAACAGAATAACGATACTTAATGATGGTTTAATTATGCCTGGCTCCTCAAGTAGGTGCTTCTTGTGGTCACCATCCTTAGGGAGGAACAAGGACTACATAACATTGTGCCTTCCTACGGCAGGAACTTGAAAACTATGCCCTGGATGATGCTGTACGCTAATGAGGGTCACAGCATTCTGCACACAAACCCATTGCCTCTGGTGGTGTGTGCTGACTTCAAGCACCATGAAGATTTGGAAGAGAGTAGGAGGTCCCCCATTCCCATGCACACCGCATTTTCCAACCAATGCTTCTTCCCAGTGAGTCTGCGCTGCACCTGTCCTGTGTGTCTCCCCACATTTGAACATTTTACTCTCCTTTTGGCTCTTCTAATACTTGTCCTTGTGGGTGTCCTCCTGCTTCTTTGTCCATTGTGTGTCATTTTTGCAGGGAGGGAGACTTCTTCAGTGGTGTCCTCCTCTTCTCTCTGCTGCAGTCCTCCTCCACCCCTGTGATGTCAACAAGTCCCAGGGCTCTAGCCTTGAGACAGCCACTGGAATTTCTCCCTCAAGCTCTAAACCTGTGTTCTCAGTGGGGCTGGGACATTCGGTATTGGTGGCAGACATTTGTTCCATGGTGTTAGGGAGGGGTCTCACTGGCATGTCATACGTAGAGACCAGAGATGTGGCTAAACATCCTGCTATATGGAAAGGCAGCCTCAGAAGGGAGAAAATTTGTCCTGTCTGCAAATCTCACAGAATCCATGTTTAGAAACTGTGATCTACAACTGCTGGACTTTTCTAATTGAGTATACTACAGATATTCTGAATGGAACACTTACCAAAATAAAACTGTGACCTTTCTTCCCAACTTGGTAATATTTAAGTTGAAACCAAAATGTCAGACAATGCAGTAGCAATATCTTGGCCTCTGGTACTCCCCAAATACCTGGATCTTCCTGAAGGTGTGATCTATCTAGCTTTAGAAACTGCTTTTCCACTAACCCCAGCTGGGATAACCCCACTGTCCTCCTCCAGGTTTATTCAGGTGAGTCTCTGCCTTCACACAGGGCAAAATAGTGTCTGGTCTCTTGCTTTGCTTAGAGGCTATGGAGGCTTTGCCATTCCTCACCACAGAAGGGTTTCCATGAATCAACTTTAGCTTCTTGAGATTTGGGTCTGAATATTATATGTTTTCATTCTAAGTACAGAGTAAAATACCTACACTGAGGAGAAAATTAATATTTATTAAGTGGGACTTCTGTGAATATTTGGAAACATATATGCCTCATTTTTTCTGATATATAACTTCATTTTGTGGTATTCTAATTAAGTGAAAGTGAATCAGGATGATATTTGAATTGAGAACTAAGTCCAGTCAGGTCTTTGGTCAGCTCACATTAGATGAGAATCCTTCAGAGTCATTTTGCAGAAACACAGTGGCTCTGCCAGTAGCAGTTTATCCCATTTATCCCAGCAAAGTTGTTTATTGCTGTTCTTTTTATTGGTGACAGTGTTGTACAAAATTTTATCTCAATGAAATAAAAAAGAAGAAGTAGTAGAAACTACTATATTTCAAATTCCTGTTAGAAAGGCAGAGTTGGTAGAGGGACATACGAGATGACAGGTTGCTTGAAATTGAGGGCCAGCGGTTCCAGTGCAGTAGCAGTTATTTTCCTGTGTAGCTTTGATAATTTTGTACACACTGTTCTAATATGTAAAACAAGGACATGGTGTAGGTAACTTCGAAGTTATGGTAGTACTGTGGTTTCTAAATATTCATTTCTAAAAGGCTCTCAATTTCTTAATCAAACCGAGGGACCTTTCTGACAGAAATTCTGTCCATCTTTCAAGAGCCTCTTGTCTTTCGTCAAAACCACAGAGATCCATGATTTTCTTACTCAAATTTTTATTCTGCCAAGAAATTCAACAAAATGGCAAATGTCTAGCAGTGGTTTTTTGTTGTTGTTGTTGGTGGTGGTGGTGGTGGGTTTTACTTAGCAATGGGATTTATCAGTGTGTCTTCTGGGTGGTTCTTCACTGGAAGGGACCCATTAGAGAAGTACCCTGAGAGCTTTTGAGTTCGCACTTGTTGGTTCAGTGCGCTGAAGTGATACCTTTAGATTCTTGTATCTTTATCAGGGACATGGAATGAAAGAGCAGAGGCATTTATTTTTTATTAAAATTCCCTAGATAAAATTCCAGTAACTTTTCATTGGAAAGAATTCAACTGTATGTGTACAAAATAAAAATTTTATGGACTTTTTTAAATGCTGAACTCTAAATTTTTAACATTAGAAATTAGTATCATTAAAAAAAGAAATTAGTATCATTGTTTTTATTTTTCATTTTTAAGATAAAAAATAGATTTAGAATTTAGGGCTAAACAATGAAGACAAAATAATTATATGACACTCAGTAATGACTTGGTTAAAACTATGTCCTGAAGCCTGAGCCTCTGACTTATTTTAAATAATGGGTTAGTCTCTAACATTTTTGTGTCCATCCATAATAGTTTCTAAAACTCTGCTACATGTTATTCAAACAACTGTATATAAGCACATGATTAGTTACTTGGTATATTTGAGTGGAAATGGCTACTTAACGTTCTAATTGAAGAACAGATTCATAATTAGAAATGGAGTTATTTCTGGATTGTTTTCGGGAGTTACTCTCCTCTGCCTGAGGTTTAAAGCATTTCAAGAAGTTATATTCATTCTTTGAAGACTCCAGCTTTCTTTTGTTCTACCCTGCAACAGAAACTTGCTTTTGATTTATTGATCAAAAGATTCAGGAGTTCCTACAACTCTAATAGTGTCTGTGGTAAGAAAGGAGGAAAATATGCATACACACGAGCAACTCTGTAAGAATCATGAGGTTCTTTTGTTTAAAATGTGACCACCATGGTTGATTATCAAGAAATACTAAGGAAGTATAACCAGTGAATTTCACTGATGGTTAAGTAAGGATCTCCAGAGACTGCTCTGAAAGTTTGAAGTTGGTACAGGTCTTTGCTTTATAATGCTCACTAGGTAAAATACAGCTACCTGAATTCTGAGGGAATACTAACTGCCTGTGATTTAAAAACATACAAAGGCATAAAATACTAACTGGGAAAAAATTGTGCACTTCCTGTGGATAGGTGAATGTTTTTTGGTTTTGACTATTTTATTACCCATGCCTTTCAGATCTGCGGAAGACCTTTGAGCAGGAACCCCTGGGAAAGGAAGTAAGCCTGGAACAGGAAGTTTTACTCCAGTGTCGACCACCTGAAGGGATCCCAGTGGCTGAGGTGACCAAAATGCTTTGTATTTAGCAGTTGGCACTTAGTGATTCTAACAAAGGCCTGATCCATAGCTAATGGTGCAGTGAATTAGGGCATGGCATGATGAATGGTTGGTAATGGAATCCTAACTGCAGGCTGCTGGCAAATAGATTGATTGGGAGCTGATTAATGACTTGGGAGTCAATTAGAATGTCCCACTGGACAAACCACAGGCAGTGTGGTTTAGTTTGTCATTTTCTTTCAAGAAATCAGAAATGCTGTTTTACTTGGCACTTCCAGAGAAAGATGCTGTGACTTACAATTCTGGCAGTTTTACTGTTGTTCTTGACAATATGCAAAAAAATTGTTGGTGTAAGATGTGTGGGTGGATATAGAGTATCTGTGTCCATGAATGAGCCTGTAGTGTATTTTTGTGATACAATCACGGACTTAACCCAAAAGCCTCATTCATTCAAACATGTTTTGGTAGTAATGAATGTCAGTTAGTTTCATCATGTAAATTTTCTATCACACTCTTACTTTTCATTTTTCTGCTACAATAAGGGTGTTTATTGCCAATGAAGTATTAGGAATCAGATTCATACCAGGACTTTTCATTAGCACCAGATGATACAGTGCCTTTGAAAATGCCCATCTCTGGGAGATCTGCCTACATGACTCCCAGGAGAGCCCAGGACACCATCCTGAGCATCCTGATGAGCGAAACTGATCCTGTGACTTTTGTTTGCTAACAAATAGGCCTAAACTATAAAACAATTTACTCGTTACATGAGTAATAGGTAACATCCTTCTGTGTAGCCAACATGATTGCCTTAGCTGATCCCAAGTCTTGCAGACCCAGGCACACTTTAATTTGATAGGTAGCTACCAAATTGATGGCAGTCTCATTAGTCCCCAATGTCCATGAGTCCTGTGGAATTTGTAGACTTCACTGTATATGTGGAAAGAAGCATGTCAGTTGTTTTCTGTTTGGATCTATGCATGGGTCTAGCCATGGGTCAGCTGGAGATTTTTGTTTTGCTTGGGTTTCTTTCTTTCTTTTTTATTTCTTTCTGTCTGTCTGTCTTTTTGCAACGGGTCGTATTATATAATTCTGGTTGGCTCACTTTGTAGCCCAGGCGGGCCTCAAACTCAGCAATCGTCCTGCCTCAGCCTCTGAGTGCTGGGATTACAGGTGTGCACCACCCATTTCAGCTGATTTTTTTTCTGCCTCAGCTGATTCTTTTATGTATCCATAAATTAGAAAAATAATACTGAGACAGTGTTCAAAAAGTGATTAATGATTAATAACTAATGCACTATTTGATTTCTTACAGTTTTTCAGTCTTAGGGAAACTGAAAAAAAGGTAGAAACCTTCATAGATATGTAGTCCTACAACATCAAAATCAAGCATCTGATTGTTCCTTCCAAATTAGTATTAATGACAAATTAATTGCTAATTTTGGCAAGACATTTATAAAACAACTCCATTTTCTGTTACAGCCATGTGTATGTTTAAAATTAAAATCTCTAAGGATTAATTTTTTTCCTTTGAAAAAAAAGAGAGCTTTCTTAAATTTGTAATTGACATCCCATTGGTACTCTAACATTTCATCCAACACCAGATGTTTATCTTCTATCACCAAGACATGGTATGATTGAGTGTAACTAAAAATGCAGAAATTCTTCTCTTTTCAGTATTTCATTTTGATGATTTCGAATGTGTATCTGTCTCCTTAATTGTTGTTCTAAAATCCAACGCTTATCTCTTCTGTTAAACTGTCCTGAAGACCAAAGCACATAACGAATAGTATGAGTATCCATAGCTTCATTGTTGCTCAAGATTTCTTAAATGTAACTGGTCCCTGCCCAGATACTGAGTGAGGAGATCCTGGTATGCTTCACCTTTTTCAGTATTCTTAACAAAGTAGTTCACTTTGTCAAGGAGTAAAGATTCATGACAGAAAACTAATTGGCTGTGAATTTTAGTGTAGCACCAGGGAAGAGACCAATTAACACTGGACAAGCTCAAAAACCATATACCTATTTGACATTCAAAGAACTATATTTAATCCATATTACTTTTTCATTTCTTTTTTTTTAGTCAAAAGAGAGATCAGACATACACACTGAAGATCAGGCTAATCAGCTCCAGTATGGGTTGCTTTCAACATTGCTAGAGTCACCCAGATCAAAAAGCTAATGAATACCTTAACCCGACAAGAGGAACAGGCAAAATGAAAAGAAAAAGATGAGCAGTAACTTGGGGAGTTAAAGGTTATATGATCATTTTAGTTTAATATATTATTTCATTTTCATTTGTTTCTTTTTAGGGAATTTTAAATTATAAAATAGCACAAAGTAAAATTTTGATCTTAAAAGGAGACCAGTAGATAAAACTCCTGTGTTTTATAATAACTCACCATTCCTTATTAAGTCGGGCATACTGAATATGTGCTTCTTTGGTGTCCAAGGCAGATAGATGGTGATGAGTCAGATGGTAGATGTTCAATGATCATGTGACTGATCAGTCATTTGATCTGTGATTTACATGCATGTGTAAAACTCCATTAAAGAATTAATGTTCTACAGTACTGGATATTCTTTGCAGAGTACCAAGAAATAGTAATTTTCTTCCTTCCTGTTCAAACTAGTAAATTTTCCAAGAACTCAAATCTCAGAATAATCACACATTGGTGCAAATAAACACATAGACATGGTTGTAGTATAACATTTAATTTTTCCATATTTTGGCATTCTCTCCTCTCTCAAGTAGAATGTTAACATAATTTTCTTTAGGAATTCCTGATTTAAATTTAAGCAGGCTCATTTTAGCTGTTTGGCTTTGGGTAAAGTGCCTAAATTTTTTGAACTTAAGTTTCCTCAATTATAAAAGAGAGATTAGTAATAGTATCTATGCCCAATATGCTTATGAAGTTTAAATGAGATGATCTATGCAAATCATTGAGAACATATCTAAATAATCAAGGAACATTGGCCATGATTAGTACTATTATTATATTATCACTTAGTAATGCACAGAGGACCTAATTCAACCTCTTGAATTAGAAAATAGTTCCTGAGTATGTTGTCCCCATTCAGCACTGTGAGATATGTGGAGGAGAAACTTCTGTTCTAGGAGCCACCAAGAGGTCCTCCTGTAACCTTCACACATTTGCTTTGGGGAAGTCCATAAAGACTGCAAAGGAAGAGAATATTGGGAGCTTTCAAACAGGATCTACCTTTACTCTGACGTCACGGGATGTCGTGTTAGGGGCATGTGCTAATTTGTGTTAAAAGAGCATTATGCTGGGTGTATGATGCTTTTATTCTTCAAAATATTTCTGTTGATGAATTATTAATTTCAAATTTAGGAATTTTATTATGTTAAACAATGAGTTTAAATGGGAAGAAATTTCAAAAAAGTAATGTATTAAATTTTAAATATTGAGTTTATAAAAAAGCATCAAAATTTTTAACAGCAACTGTTTTATTGGTGTGAAAAGTCTAAAAAATAACAACAGAAATAAATTCCTATATGGGTTACAATGAAAATACAAATACAACTCTACAACAGAAATAGTGTTTACTTCAGTTGCATGCCCAAGGCAGTCTTCACACATGACAACAGCGCGTTCTGTTTACATGTATCACTTCCTCTGACAGCACGTGTCTTGGCTTTTTGTAGGGCATACTTGACATCTCTCTGGTTTTGCTGTTTTGTCAGGAGGTTCTTATTATCTGTGTAGTTAACACGAACATAAAATATCCATAAAATAAGATATTAAATTCTTAATATGTATTGTGTGTTTAGAATAGACGTTAGCACTTTCACATCTGCCGTGTACTTCCTTCTAAAACCTAAAACATATAAGAAATAAATTCCTGTATTAACTACTATGAAAATGCCAATAGAACTCTACAACAAAAATAATCTTTCCTCAGTTGTCACACCCGAGACAGTCTTCACACATAACAACTACGTGTAACCCATACATGTCTTGCTTGCACTGACAACAGGTGTTTAGCTTTCCTTTCCTGTGTGGTAGTCTTATCACCTCTCTTCTCTTCCTGTTTGGTCAGGGGCTTCCTACTATATTTTGTAACGTACCCTTAGCCAGAAAATAAGATATCAATAAAATACAATGGCAAATATGTAATGAGTGCTTAGACTAGACATCAGTACCTTTGTAACAGCTATTTACTTGCTTACAAGACCAAAAAATAGATGACATCAAAAATAAAAACCTGCTGGGGATTTACCTCAGCGGCATAAGTGCTTGCCTGGCAAGTGTAAGGTCATGAGTTCAATCCCCGGTACAGAAAATAAAAAAGAAAAAGAAAAGAAAAGAAATAAAAACCTATGTGAACCACAATTCAAGTACAAACAAAAAGCTACCAAAGAAATTCCTGACAGGTGGACAGGCAGGTGCAACATCACAAAGACTTACTGCAACAATAAAGAAAATCAAAAAGATTTCAACTATGCCTTACTAAAAAGAACAGAAGGGCCAGGGATTTGTTCAGCGGCATAAGCACATACCTGGCAAGCATGAGGTTGTGAGTTTGAGCCTCAGTATCAAAAATAAATAAATAAAATAAAAACAGGAAAACAAAATATATGTGCTATCAGTATAAGTGACACTCGTGCGTGGAGCATGCAGATGTTATGGATAACCAACTGCTTGTTTACCTGTGAGCTCACCAATATGTGCCACAGTTTGTGTGTGTGCATGCATGTGTGTGTGTGTGTGTGTGTGTGTGTGTGTGTGTAGTTCCCTAGGAAGAAACATCTTGTTCTTTCTCTGTTGTGAATGATATGATATGAGTTCCAGTCCAAATCCTCTAAAAATTTTATCCATGCAATTTTGCACTTTTTATTTTCTTTGTAAACTATCAAACTGTTTATGCCACACATATGTAGGATCGAGGAAAACACAACCGTTGACCAGTGCTTTGTATTTCTAGTGACCTCATATTTGCTGCATAACTCAAGCAAAATCTACTCTGCCTTTCTTTTTGTTGT